TTGGCACCCAAAGCACAGAGAGACAGAAGGATACTCGGGCCCTTAAACAGACTTGGGCAGTTTCGTAGAGCCTTCAGAGGGACTTCAGTATTAGATACTGTGTCTTGTTGCATGACTGAGTGTTTAAGAGATTCTGGGCTGTGCCTGGCCACTCTTTGGTCTCAAGCAGCTTGGAGAAAGATCAGCTTCTGTCTCTCTAAGCCAATGCACAGAAAGCGTTTAGGAGTATGCAATAGATGCAATGACCATGCAAAAGAAATAATTTAAAGGCACAGTACACCCCAAAATAAAAATTCTGCCACCATTTAGTCAATCTCATATTGTTTCAAACCTGTATGACCTTCTTCTTCTTCTTTTTTTTTGGCATGGAACCCAACATTCTAAACTCAAAAATTGAACAATTCTAATTTTATTTTTATTTTTTTGTGCTAGGGTATTTGCATAAGGCAATCTGATTGGCTGATGCCTGCATTGGCCCTTGAAATATTGAACGTTTTTCAACTTCTGTCACGAGCAACGCCAGTGGCGCGCCGCAACAGATCCATTATTCAGTTCGGCAATGCATGATGTCACCCATTCAAAGTAAATGAGAAGCGTTAACGCCGACGCCCGGTGTGAATGTACCATTAGAAATAAAGCTCTCAAGCTTCAAACAGGGTGCAAAAGCACCATAAAAATATCCTAAAAGTGGCCCATGTGATTCAAATGCTATATTTCAAGTCTTCCTGAGTCTTACAATAGCTTTTGTGTGAGAACTAGATGAATATTTAGTCATTATACACTGATGTTCTGACACTCATTCTGACATTCCTTGGCATGTTTATGAGAGCTAATGAGGAAATAACATTATCAACAGATAATGAGGAAAAAAAAAATCATAGAATCAGTGAGTGGAAACTGCTCAGTCTGATTCATAAAAAAAAAAAAAATCTTCAATGAATTGGTTGATCCAGTTCACTAAATGAGTCTGAATGATTCGTAAACAAATCAGACTGAGCTAGTTCTTGAGTTCAGCTCACTGATTCTACAATTCAGTCTCAGCTCACTGAAGAGGAAGATTATAAATTAGTGAATAATGACTTACATTTCAGCCAGTTTGTCACAAAGCTGCATGTATTGCATGATTTCAGAAGACTTCAAATGTACATTCTTAAAAACAATGCTTCCAAACGGGGCTTTTTCACAGCAGAAGAAGCAATTTGTGAGCAGTTTCTCAGCTAACAGATCATAAAAGAGTTTATGATTTATGAAAAGTTTAAAGAACATTTTATAATCTAAAGAACATTTTTTCCACTATAAAGAACCTTTTGTGGAATGAAAAGTTTACGTCGATGTTAAAGGTTCTTCAATGCCAATAAAGAACATTTATTTTTAAGAGTGTACCATATGAGACACTTTTATGATATGTTTATGGCGCTTTTGCATCCATTTTAAAGCTTGATAGCTTTAGTCCCAATTCATTGTAATAGCATGAAAAAGAAAGACAAGCACGTTTTTGGAACAATGACTGAATTTGTTCATTTTTTTTGGGTGACCCATACCTTTAAATATCTATTTATCTTTATGTTCTCACTCTTTCTTTACTCCAGAAAGCACACAGTCTCTCTCCTGAACTCCAGCAGTCTAGTTTTTCTTACCTGAGGTTATAATACTTAGACTGTGAAATCATCTAGCCACTGCCGCCCCCCAACTCCCTAAACTTTGCACCACTCTCGTATAGCAGATCTTTAATATTTATGGTTGTAGAGCCGAGGGAGCGGAAGGGGGCTGAGGGGTGGAGGTCCACACTGCTGCTTTCTTTGCAGTGCTGGTGGAGTGAGGCCCAGGGTGGCGGTTTAGCAGCCAGAGCCCAGGCATGGGCCTCCATGTTGAAATGATTAGGACACAGGAAGCTGAACCTGACACTGCTGACACCAGGCCTCACCGCCACATCCTGCCCACAAGACCCTCACTGTGCCGGAGCACCCCTCTCATGACAGCTAGACGGTGATTTACACCTTCTGATAAGAGGAACTTGGACATGGAAAGGGTGGGTGTGGAATATTAAATGGTAGCAGAATCTTCAAGTCAATTTTGAATGCGAGAAAATTTATCTTTGATCAATAAATTGCACAATTATATTAAAAAATATATATACCTGTGATACCACAATTATATACCTGAGAAATAATTTGCTCTTCCTTCAAATATAAGAAGTATACAGTTATCATTTAATAAATTGTAGAAGAAAATGTACTGCATTAATTGAAAACTCTATGCATTTTATATTTGAAATAAAACAAATAATTTCTTATATCTTATTTTAATATAATATGATTTCTTATATCATATATATATATATATATATATATATATATATATATATATATATTCATGTGTGTGTGTGTGTGTGTGTGTGTGTGTGTCTGTGTGTGCACGCGTGTGTGTATATTCTCATTTATTATATTTATATATATATACACACAGTATACACAGAACTGGATTACATAATCAGATTCCAAATATTAAGTACTTGTAATTAGAGTAAATTACATTTTAAAACACTCATAATCAAACTACAGTTACTTTTTTATGGATACATGATAACATTATTTACACAATAGCAATTATTTATTCTCCCCAATTCCTCTTCTTCATCTTTTAAATGTTCCTTTCTAAAATGTCCGACTGCATATAAACACTCAGAAAGACTCCAGTTTTGTGGAGATTCAGAGAGATCAGTCATTAGTCAGATTTATACACAGCATCTGGATTTACAAAACCATTTCAGGTTTAAGAAGTGTTTCAACATTGCATCAACTACTGATGAACACATTAACACTGCCCTTGGAGAATTTGGGTGAGAATGTTTACTAGGAAAAAAAGCAACAACAAAAAAAACACCTTTCTTCTTGCCCCCACTTTTCCTGACTGTATTTTTTGTACAACAGAGATCTAGTGCCACCTTTTGGTGTGGGTTATATTAAATTCACACAATGCTCAAGGGTCCAGAATAATGCATGAAGAAGAAGAATAACATCACTGGTCATAGCACATTTGCACTTATTCTTACTGGGATTGTGTCTGAAAAAACTGAAAAAGAATGAATGAATGAATGAATGCATGAATGAATGAATGAATGAATGAATTAATTAATTAATTAATTAAATGTCTGTCATACCATTGATAAACAATGAAATGCTTTCTGATAAATGCAAGGACAAATCCAAATCCTTTCTCAAATTATGAATTATATTACAAAATCAAGGTTTCATAGCTGTCAAAACTGCCACCTTGTAGACTGTTTGCTTCTGTTTCTGAATCTGTGATTGAGCCTATTTAAAAGAACATTATACAACTTCAAAACTATGACCATATATTTAAAAATGAATGTGTGGGAAAATATGACAGTTGTATTTTTTTTTTTTTGCAAGTGAAGATGGGCTGACGTGATGTTTCCATGACAGGGATCATAAGGGTGATGCGAGTCTTGGGCGCAGCTTGGGCTCCCAGATGGTGTTCTCTTGTGATTGTTTTCTTTAATAACACACTGCTACTGTTGCCATCACGATGGCCGTTGGTTACAGACAGAGCTTTAGAGACCCACTACCTCATTAACATTTTTAACAGGCCTGTTTGTTTGTCTTTCCTACCCTCTGGTCATAATTATAACAGTCAATTAACCCTCAGAAAAAGGGCATAACAGTGAGGGAGCCAAACTATTAAACCGTGATTCACTACCTTTAGTCATATTCATCTCATCCTGTCTAGATGGAAATTACTGCTGGATAATTTGACTACAACACTGGAGGATAAGATAAATTTGCTTACATAAAGTACTGAGACTTATTTTCATCGATTGCATGTTTTTCGTTTTGTTTTGTTTTTTTAAGATTTTTGTACTTGTTTTTAGCTTTAGCTTAAGGACAAAGTACATTTATATGCTCTAGAATATGCCGTGTTGCTACTCAGGTATACATTTATCTTATTTCAAGGATTTAGATATTCTAATTGGAATATAACACACACACACACACACACATATTATTTTATTTTTTTTTTTCAAATTCTATTTTTTCCTTGTTTTGATCACAAAAACAATACATAGACAGATATACAGACAAGTGGACAGACAGACAACGGAAAAACATGCAAATTAATGGATAGATAGATAGATAGACTGATAGATGTAAACACAGAAAGAAAGAAAAACATTATATTCCTCTTTTTATTTAAATTGATAAGTATAATCTGACAAAGATAAAGTAAGATAAAATCTGCATATACACGAATCATGTTGTGTATATTTTGGTATTTTTTTACAGACACATTTTACATTATTCAATCGCTGTGCTCTTACTCTTAGCCTGGCCAGTGGTTATATTTTTATCTCATGCCATGTCTCATGTAAATTTCCACCATGTTCATCCATAATGTTAAGCTTGTATTCTCCTTGAACAAATCCCTCAGCCCAGACACACACACACACACACACACACACACACACACACACACTCATGCACGCACGCACACACACACACACACACGC